GCATTTCAATCCCTGGAGACTTTGGCGGCTTCTGTATATGAAATCCACGAGGAAAATGCCTACCTGTTGGCGAGAGCTCTCACAATAAGCTGTCGTCCGAAATCAAGCACGAAAAAGCCAACAGATGAAAAGGAGGGCAGCCCAACACTAGTGCGAAAGGATTCGAAGCAAGAAGACGATGGTCCACTGATTGCCACGGCTCTTCCGAGCCATTGTGAACCCGCCGAACGAGCGTTCAGTGAGCTGGAGGATTTCCATGGCGCCTTGTCAGGAAATTCATTCGTCTTCCTTTTTCCAATCATTCGCGCAGCGCTGATGGGCCCACGAGCATCGCAAGGATGCGAGTCTGCCTTGCGTGTCTTGGAATGGCACACGTCTTTGCTTGCCGGTGATGAAGAGGACCCGGTAGTCCTGCCTTTGAGAAAGCACATGATTGTCAGTGTCTTGGAGCTCATGAAGCATGACAGAGCTCAAACGTTTGTCGGTCCAACTCCCAACGAAGCACTTGTAGCATGCTTCAACACAGAAGCAGATGGTGCTGGTGGGCCTGCCTTGAGCACAGCCGAACTTGCCCCCTTGCTGGACGATCGCGGAGCCTTGGGAGGCAAGGCGTGTCGTGCTGGTGCAATGATCGCTTTGCGGCATATTGCCACAGAACATAAAGGCCTGATTAAGAAGAATCCTCTCATCGAGAATCGCATATGGCTGAACTGTTTCGACGAGAACGAGTCAATCCGTTTGGAAGCGCGAAAGGCATGGAAAGCCATTCAGGGAGAGTTTGACGAAGATGCAAGCGACGAGGAAATCATGACCATAACAAAAGGCCCCTCTTTGATGTACGCAGCGCCGTTGTTGCCTTTGCTCAACAGTCCTGATGAAGCCGTCGCACGGGCAGCCGCAAACGCTTACGCAAAGGGAATGGCGATGCATCCCAAGTCCGTCAGCAAGAATATTCAGAAACTCTGTAACAGCTACATCGAAGCATATCCGACATCATCATCTATTGGAACGAAAGAAACCTCATCGAAGTTTCCAGCAGCGCTGCCAGCCAAGGCACCTCCCGCACCACCAAAGAAAGCAGCTACCCTTGGCCTGCCCAAGAAAAAGACAAAAAAGTCGGCGCTCTCCGTGGCCATCTTCTCTCATTGTCCCCTAGCTCGCGAATGATTCCAAATGCGGCACAGTTGCTGACGGCACAAGCGAGCACCGCCTCTGACACCATTGGCAAACAGGCATTACCCACTTCAATATCCGACATGGCAAGGTAGCGGATTGCCGCCAGCGCCCGGTTGAAGTCTCCATAGACAATGTCCGCAAGACGTTCTCTTTCTTTGTCTTGCTGTACCACCAACTTTTTCTCGTCCGCTGTCAAGGGCCGCGCGGCAGAAGATTGTCCCGACGATTCTTTCTGTTTCTTGGCAGCAATTTCCTTTTTCAACTGTTCCTCCCATTCCTCGTCCTCCTTGGACATGCCGCCTTTTTTCTTGGCCGTTTTGATGGCCTTGCCAGCAGCGTCCGAGGATGATGCTGCAGGGCTGCCCGTGTGCAACGTCCCTTTCGTGCTCAACATCAAGTCGACATTGTCCGCCGTCAAGTCTTCCACCTTTTCTCGTGCCACCACCAAAAGCTCCTCGAGCCGTGCTGGGATTTCCTTTGTACAGAGTTTACTGGCAATTTCCGATGCTTTCATATCGGCAGGATCCTTCTTTTCACCTTCTTCATCATCATCGTCTTCCATGCCCATCATGTCTTCATTGACCAAAAAGTCGGACGCGATGGATCCCAATGAAACCATGAGACTCAGTGCCGCACGATGCATCGTCTGACTCACTGGAACTGGTTCGTCCTCATTGTCATTGCCCCACGAAAACTGTGCTAGTGCTGCACATTGCGCAATGTGCGTGGCCAACGACGACAACAACTCGGCATTTTCGCCAAGTGATTTCAACACGTCCAATGTTTTCTTGCGAAGCTGATGGCGTTGCGGACCGTTATCCTTGAGCGAACTGCCCACGTGCATCAATATCAATACCTGTGCCAACTTTTTTTGTTTCGCCCCCCTGACCAATAATAATGGTGCCACTCGTCGAATGGTATTGTCGTCCATGGCGGCCCATTGTTCCGATGCGAGATTCTCTTGATCGCGGGAGTAGAATGACTCGTTGCGCAACCGTTCCAATTCATTGCCACAGTCATTGACATGCATCCACAAGGCATCTGCCAATTCGATCGCTACCTTGGGTTGATACGTCAATACCGTTTGTACCGTGCCAGCCATGGTGGCGGATACGACCATTTTACTGCCGGTGGCAGTTTCTCCCGGTATCGTTGGATTGGGATGGACAATACACGCCGCCAGTGCTCGTGCCACGGGAGGACTCTTGAAGGGAACGTCCTTGTTGTTGTTTTCGTCCGACGTCCATTTGGCAGCGAGCGCCAAGACCCGCGGAAGAAGCAATCGTACGAGCCGCGCCGTGGTGACATTGTTGGATGTCACGGCATCGAGCATATGTGCCGCCGTACAAAAATTGGGCGATGCCTTCCATGCCTTGATCAAAAAAGCCGGTGGTGTCTTGGATGACGATGACAATGCCATGACCAACCCCATATAGACGGCAATCAATCCGTCAATGCTGGCCGTGGTGGTTTTCTTGTTGGCCGATGCCCCGGTAACAATGGCATCCAATCCCTTTTCGAGTGCCTTGTTATTCTTGGCGTCGTGGAATAAATCCGTAACCATGGTTTCCACCGCATCCGTATCGGTAATGGTGAGTAAAAAGTGTCCCACGATTTCGGCACTTTTGGTGGTTGTGATTGGTTTTTGTATCAGTTGCAACACCGGTTCGATTGCCTTGTTACTGTTGTCACCTAGTTTTTGTCGTTTGGCTACCCGCCACCAATACCAGACCGCCGTCATGCCGGCTTCTTTGTTTTCGGTGGCTGTCTTGCCTTCTTTGCCCAACAAGGTGGTTGTGAGATGGGTCAATAGTTTTTGGAGCAGAACCGCATCCAATCCTTCCACGGGAAAGTTGGTCGTGTCGTGCAACAATCCTTGCGCCAATTGCGTCCATACCGTGTAGGCCGTGTGGCGTTGCGGGGCCGTGGTGGCGGTGGACGATTGGGATTGTAACAGAGCGGGAAGAACGACGTTGACCAAAGACGGCACATGCCGTGGGGATGCCGCAACAATTTGTGCGGCCATGTCTCGCATGGCATCTTTCGGGGATTGCAACTGTTTGGTGAGTACGGGTGTCACGTATTCCGCATGTGTCTGCCACGGCAAGGGCTTGGCAGAAGAAGAACCAATCAATAATAATCCCAACAAGGCGCCGAGTCCTCCTTCGGGATTGGCTTTGGTTTTGAGCAGCAGTGTATCCATCCATTCGGTGGGCCAGGCAGTATTGTTTTGGGATACTACAGACGCCAGGAAGGGTCCTAATAGTTCCATTTCGAGTTGTTTGGGTAGACTGGAACTGTTGAACGCTTGTTCAAAGAATACAGTCGACCAATCATAAGAGGAAGTGCCATGAGGTACTAGATCAAATCCCAATGCAATGGCCGCACTCCAGAGCGTCTTGTCAGTCTTGGCCAGTTGGTAGATTGTCTCTGTCACAATACTACTACTACTGCTCTTGGATTCTGTGGATTGTTGTTGTTGTCTTGCTGATGTAGTTTGGAGCAATGACTTCCATTGGGTGAGAGGTTGCTTTTGTTGTGAATGACATGTCATGGCGGCTTTGACCAATCGACAAAGATTCCGGACCAACCCCTGGACAGTGGCTTGCTGCTGTTCTGTGGCATCCTCTTTGGCAATGTCCTTGTACTGATAGAGACTGATCAAGTACAGAGGAATCGTACGTCCGTATGCGTGGCGAGAGGAACACTCGAGGTCTGATGATAGACAGAATGGCAACAAAAGAGTCAGCATGAATGAGTGAGAGATTCAGTCAGTTCAAGAGCCACAATTTCGTTTTCTTGTCTAGTTCTGATCTTACGATCGATCTCACGACGTATCGTACCTTTACATCTCTCTGCCAGATACTCTCGACACTCATCACTCTCCTTGACACACGTGGTAGCTTCCTCGACGTACTCTTGTCGCTTGCCGGAACCCAAAATGTCAGGCCGGCAAGATGCCAACAACGTTATCAAAGATCCAAACGCATCCTCTTCTTCTTCCATTCTTATTATTACTACTAGTAGCTAGCTAGAGCCTGTGATGATATTGTATTGGTCGAACGAGCTGTTGGGTTCTCTTTCCCTTTGTAGCCTTGGCTTAATATGGAGCTATATCGATCTGAAGCTTCAGCCTTGTTGTGGGTTGTGTTGATGACAAAGATCTTTCAAGATAGATGATGAGACTTGCACTGCCGTGGGAAGGTTTGGATTGTGCGGCCACTGTTGCTCCGAAAATGGAGCGAATGTGCGTGCGTCTCATACCAAATCCGTGACTGACTCGACTCAAGTCAGAAAACTCTATTTTTTAAAGGCTAGACTACTCTGAGTAGTACTCGTAGGACTTGTCCACCCACCTGCTACCCTAAACCAACACCCCACAAAAAATTGGGGTGGAGAGAGTTGCCAACCTCCACTGGGAAGAAATCTAAAACCCAACCCAAGCATGCAGTTAAAAGGGATGGGTCACCACGTGGTGGACCCATCCTCACTACTGCTGTCACCGGCGCTGCCATTAGCTAGCTACATCTACAGTGCTGACATACATCACAGTCAGCCATCGTCGTCGGACTCAAATGCATCGCCCATGGTTCCTGCGGCCAGACGGCGCCAGCAAGCTGTCTGCTTTGTCGAATTTCGAATCTCACCGTCAACTGACAGCCAAAGAGTTTGTTGGGTACACTACCGGTACCAATAAAGAGACGTCAAAGACTGCCAACACACCAATGGACATCATAATCGTCACTGCCGTTATGCATCTGGCTTCGCTCCGTAGACTTTATTATTAGAATACATGTACAGTATCGTACCGTACTCCGGCTTTATCGTTTTCATTCGTTGCGGTGAGATAGATCAATGGATGGTGAGCATCCGGTGCTCGCCTGGTGATTCATTCATCATTCGTGGATAATAAATCTGGTTTTTACAACGCACAAACTGCTCACCGGCACTCGCCAACAACGTGAAAAGTGAGGAATGCGACCCAGCCAGAGACGAGATGACAGAGTGATCAACGTAAACAACTAATAACTGTTCAGATTTCATAGTTCTGTTGCTGATTTTATTATTATAAAATAAAACATGAGCGCTTCTGAGAATCTACATGCTCGAAAACAAGATGAGAAAGTCAAAGAGGAGAAGTCTCTTACTATACCGGTACCGGTAGTAGTTGAGGAAGACCACCACCACTCGGATATCGAGAATAATGAGTCCAAAACAACTCCGGCTGTTTCGCTGCCAATGATTCGCTTTTCCTCGCCACAAGTCATGATTTATGTGTACACGGCAACTTTCTTTGGAGCAATGATTGGAATGGAGGTTGCAATGGAAGCAGCATCGGATGCCTTTTCAGACCTGAGGGCCTTGGGGAGTGCCATTACTTTTTTTCAGATGAGCTGGTGTGTCTTGTTTCCATTGGCAATTTCCAAGGGGAAAGGATTAGAGAACTTTCCAAGAACAAAACAAGATCTGCTGCCCTACATTAAACTTTCCCTTCTTGTTTTTGGGGCAACGGGTCTTGCCAATGAGGCGATACTTTACGTGACATATCCTACCGGAGTGGTCATCAAGAGTGCCAAACTCATCCCTACCATGGTAGTGGCAACCGTCTGGCAAGGACAAGGATATACCAGGTTGGAATATCTTGCCGCTCTACTTCTTTGTGCGGGGGCTGCTGGATACTCCTATGGAAGTGGAAACGATCACGACGCAGATGCCACAATTGCCCCCTTCTCTGCCAACGCTGCCTGGGGAGTCGCGCTGTTGCTCGTTAGCATTGTTTGTGATGCAGTTGTCCCCAACTACCAGAAAATACTCTTGAATCAAGGCGTCCCTGTGGCACAGCTCATGATCAATTGCAATGATGTGGGCACTCTTGGTGTCGTGGCCTACATGATTGTGACGGGCCAGCTCTTTGCCGTCATTCGAACCTGTTATAACCATCCCCAACTCTTCATGTATTTGACGTTTGTGGGGATTGGCCTTTCGACAGCTGTGTGGGCGTATACAAAGTTGATCCAGGCTACATCCTCTGTGATGGCAGTGACAGTATCCACGCTCCGAAAGGTGGCCACCATGTTTCTATCCTGCATCATCTTCCCCAAGCCTCTGCTAACAATCCACATTTATTCTGGATGCTTGGTTTTGTTGGGATTGGTCTTGTCGAGTGTGGCAAAAGAAAAATTGGGTAAAACGAAGGTGGAACTCGACGACGAGTCGGAGTCTGAGAATTGTTGCTGGTGCGGTATCAGTAGTAATGTGAATGTGGGACAGGTGGTGCATCGTAGAGAAAGAACAGGAGATAGGAAGTAGATATATTTGATGTGATAGAATGAATGCGTTGAAACCGTAATAGAACGTGTCGACCGGTGTTGGATATCTCTCTCCCGAAATCTCTGTGGCTACCAAGCGAGTCCAGAAGCAATGATTACATTGCATGCCTGGAAACCAGGGGGGGAAATATCTTTCGCATGCATTCTCAAAATACCTTCCATGCTTGAGTAATACCAACATTAGAACACTTTCTTCTTCTCAAAAACTCTTCGACCTTCCCCCTTACTTTGGCTATGATCCAGTGCGTGTCCACAGCGCCCTCGGCAATGCCTTGATGTTGGGTCATGTGACGATCGGATTGAAATTTTATCGACACGGCCATGCATTGCAGCCTACAAAAAGGACAAAACACACTACCTTCAAGCTGCACTACTACAGTAGTTAACTTTGTCAATTACTACGTTTACGGAGTCCCCATCTACCGGTATGTTGTGCTGTTTTTTTTGGTCTAGAGGCATGACTTGGAGATGCTGTCACGCTTGCAAATTGGCCTGGAAGTACCGTACTGGGTGGGCGGCTTGTTGATTCACAGCATTTGCTTGTATGAGATTCACAAGACTTTTCACAGCTGCCCAGGGTACTACTACAAGTATCACAAATTCCATCATCCTTGCAATGACTGTGCATGTGCCACCTGTGTCGGCCAATGCGGTCGGATTTGCCGAGTAATGCTTTGTGCACATTTTACCCTTGGCCGTACGGTAGCCGCCATTTTGCTACAACCACACGGACGGTCCACCCTCCTTTCATTCAATCTTGACTCGACTCTGTCCGTGTTCAATCTGGTCATTCATACCCCCAAAAGCGAATTGTTCCTGGCTAGTGGATGTCTACCAAGGATCATTGGGAACGTCATGCCAAGTTTAAAAAAAATATCAAGTATGCAGCTCGGACTCTGAATGTGGATTGCGTAATGGAGAAACTAGACTACATTGGTTTCAACAGCAACAACAGCCAGAATGGCCAAGAAGAGGATGCTAGTGTGGTCACTGCTGCCTCATCCTCATACAGCTGTTGAGTAGTGCTGGCGACTGCTAGCTAGATGTTGCTAGTGAAAAGAGGGGTTTGTCACGCGACGTTTAACCAAGTACTTTACGAGTATTGTAGTCTCTAGCTAGCTAGCTAGCTAGTAGTGTGTTATTGCAGCTCAACCACTGTCACACTCATCACTCACTTGCTAGTAGAGTTCTCATTCAAAGCAACCCGTGACAGGCTCGCTTGCAGGAATTTATGAAGACTGCAAACCCCACGTGTTCAACGCCTCAACCGACAACCACAACACCGCCCTCAAGTTTTTGGTTGCGTCCACTGGGCTATGATTAACTCACTTTTTGCTCTCCAAAACCCCAACAAAGACAGCCACAAATGCTTGGTAAGATGAGGCCGTCTACTACTACCGGTAGTCACAAGCTGCTCTTCTGGGCCATTGTTCTTGCCATCCACCGTGTCGCTGCTACTCGCACCCCAGCTCCCACGCCACCTCCTTCCCCCACACCACCTCCTTCCCCCACACCGGCTCCTACGGCACCAGCCGATTATGATCCGGGCAATTTACAAGTCTACGAAGAAGATATCGATATTTATCTTTCCAAAGGCTTGACGGCACGGGTGATTGCAAGGAGTGGAGAACCCGTGCCGTACAGCAATGGTAGTCAATCCACGGAATCGTTTCACTTGAATCCCGATGGTGCCGCCGTCTTTGAAAATGAGAGCACCGGTGGTTGGGTGTATGTGAGCAATTCGGAAACAGACGAACACAATGGCGGAGTTGGAGGTCTTTATTTTGACAAGGACGGCAATCTCATTGAGTACAAAATGTTGTTGACTGGTACCAATCGCAACTGCAACGGCGGAAAAACATTTTGGGGCGCGTGGATTTCTTGCGAAGAAGACTATGATTCCGTTGGCCAAGCTTGGCAGGTCGATCCCTTTGGCATTCGAGAACCCGTGGCAATCACTCACGGCAGCACGGGTGGTGCCTGGGAATCCTTTGCACTGGATGCGAGAGATTCCACCAAATACTATGCCTTTCTCACGGAAGATATCGAGCGAGGTGCTGTGCAACGAATGACACTGGAAAAACCCGACACTTCCAATCCTTGGGAAATTCTGTTGCAAAATGGAACTGTGGATTATTTGTTGCTGGAACCGAATTGTGATAACAATGGTGGAACGTTCCAATGGATTACAGACGAGGAAACTGCACGACAAAATGCCGCAGACGTCTATCCCACATGCGAAGGCATGGAGATGGATGGGAACATTCTGCGAGTGATATCCAAAGCGCGTTATGGTTTCTTCCATTTGAATTTGGATGCCGGTACATATGTATTTGAGAGTACGCAATTTGCCGGTCAACCCGACCAAAGCACGACGGTGTATCAAGAGGATGGGAGCAAACTAATCTACTTTTCGGAAGAAGCCGACCCAATTCGTGGCTGTTTCGGTGCACAGGTGGGCATTCACACTCGCAATGAAGCCGGGGAATACACCAATATACTCTTTGGAGAGGAGAGATCACCGGGTAAGACCCTCAGTTGTTTGACTTCCATTGCCAAGAACTTGTTTGAGGCATGAATGATCTTTTGACACTTTTCCATTCCCTCCAACAATCAATTAATGGTGCAGAAACAACTGGGATTGCCTTTAGTCCAGGTACGAATGTCCCGCTCTACATCATACAGTATGAAGTGTGCTTATGAATTCTCAATCTGATTCTCCATTGTTACATTATTGCTTTGCTTTCCTTTTGCTTTGCTGTTGATAGATGGCATGTACATGTACTTTGCGTATCAACAAGACGGTTTGGTGATGGAAGTCTCTCGCACCGACGGCCTTTCCCTATTTGGACGAACGGCATCTCCTGCCGATCCATGTACCGCCGAACGTGTTCAAAATGCCCTGAGCTCTGCTTGGCAGAGTTTTCGTGGCTGGATGCTTCCGTAGCATAGCATGGTAGCAGCACGTCCTTGCGCAAAAAGTACCCACAGCAACTTTAAGAAAAAAGGAGAGAGGCAGAGATTACTTGTGTCCATGGCGTGACAAAAAGAATACGGTTGGGGGCTGATTTGTTCGCTTCTTCATTTTAGCACGATATCTGCATGTCCACAAGAATACATTCATAATTATTAGAAGACAGATAGAACACTTTGGCTAGGTAGCTTCAATGGAAAGTAATTCAACAGAAACGATATCATCTTATTTCAACCAGCCATACTATACTATTGAATTCATGTCATGTGTATTTTACTTATCCTTGTGCTTGCGCAGAAGGCGTGGCCGCACTGGCCGCCGGCATTTTTTGCGGTGACAGGAATCCATCCGTATCGTCCTTGTCCATCATGGTCATGGCGTCTTCGACGGCAACTGCCTTGGCAGCAGCATCGTCGGTGGAATCGTCGTCCTTATTATTGTTGTTGTTGTTATTGTTGTCATCCTCGTCTTGCTGTGATTTGTTATTGTTATTGACAATATCCTGTTTTCCCGCCACGTAAAAATCCCAGGCTGCCAGAGGACGTGAAATATCGGCCAATTGGAGTGTTTCATCATCTTCGTCTTCCTCATTTTGAGATGCGTCGTGATCACTATAATAACTCTGATAGTATTCTTCTTCGGAATCCAACGAATCGTGCGATTGATTGTCGTCCTCTTCCAATGCTTGGGCCGCGTCGTCCGTCGCTCCTGCTGTAGTAGTAGTACCGTCTTCGCTTGCCTTGCTTTTCTTGTTTTTCTTGGGCGCATCCTTGTTTTTGGCCACTGCCTTTTTACTACTAGAGCTAGAGTCAACCATGGCAATGGCTTTTTTATTCTTCTCGAGGCGTTGTTGTTCTTTATCGAGTTTTTGTCGTTTGCGGGCAGTTGCGTCCGTATGGTATTGTTGGACGTGTCGATGTCGATGTTTCTGCGATTCATTCCACAATTCGGCGCCTTTTAACCGTTGATCGCGACACGCCACGGCTTGATGCAATACGGTAGCGAGAAATCGATCGGCCGCCGCACTGGCAATGGCACTCACCGTGTCATCGACAAATCCCACGCCTTGTTTGTGCAGTAATCGACGCGACAGTGCCGTCGGACACGTCGGACCCACATCGGTACTACTAGTAGTAGTAGTGCTAGAAGTAAATAGAAGTGTCTCGTCGCGTCGTTGCATGCGCGTCAAGAACAATCGCAATTGATCGTCTTCCGATTGTGCTGCCATGACGGCTTGACGTTGCGGATTGTGGTTGGTACCAGTAGTAGGAGGACGGGATGAGGACGATGCCGCCAGCATACGGGCTCGTTGCAGTTCGATCATTCGTTCGCTCATGGTTGCTTGCTTACTAAGTAGCTTAGATAGATTGGTGTGTGTGTGGAAGGGTAGCTATATACAGCTGCAGCTGGAGTAGAGACTAGCTAGAGCCAACAAAGGTACTAGTAGGTAATAGAAGAGACAACAGACAATCTGGGGGATTTGCCTGAGTGAGGCTGTGAGGCTCTGCAATGGCCATTGGATTTGATGGAAGAAAAAGTGTGCGTTTACTTTGTTTATCCTCAACCCTTTCTCAACGTCACAAGTTGAGTGGCATGAAGTTCTCAACTTTTTGAAGAAATGTCCCGTTTGCTCCAAACGCTATCATACCGTATGGTATCTTCATTGTTTAGGAAACAAACATCCGTACCGTAGTACAGTACGTCTCTGACGTGTGGCAGCCCTCCTATTGGCAACCATACGGGGTTACTAGCTAGCTAGCTAACATTCGACTGATTGGATTTGCCTCTCTTGACTGGACTCGATTCATTCTCTGAGTTGGGAAATCTGAACCTCACTGGCGGGAATGGCAAGGAAGAGGCGGTACATGTATACTTTGTGAACTGCTGAATCGAATCAAGACGAATCAAGTGTCCTTTCTTGGCGTCAAACGAACTCAATTGCTCTCGTTCTGTTGAGTACGCTACTATCGTGTGCGTGTGCGTATGATTGTCCCTGCGCCTGTCTGATTCATTTCAGGGCAAGCCAACACCTCGATTCGGGGTACCGTACTCTTGTGCTAGATAGAGCAAATACATTAGTGCTCCAGCCAAGAAACCTTGAAAGCTTCGACAGGGGACCTCGTGCATCGATTCAACCCAAGCAAGGAAGGCAGAGTCAAGGTTGTGATCATGGTTCCCCCAGTCCACCCATCTAGAATAGCAGCGTCCTACCGTACTCGAGCAATCCCGCGCCTTGTTTGGCTGACTGGCTCTCTTTGTCGTGTAGTTCGTCAGCTTTGTACAGTACATCACAGTACAATACAAGTCCCGAAGAAAAGCTTTTCAGAAGAGTAGCTCCCAATAGCTCGTTTCGTCTCCTCTCCTCCGACTGTGATCGCAAATGTGAAACTCAATCACTTCGCCAGACTTTGGGTGGTGAGCCGTCTTTCAATAAACATAATGTTAGAAGCAAGGCACAATACAAGTTGAAAATACAAGTGGAATGTTGAGAATCAGGATCCATGATTGATGACGAACTATTGATTGACGGATCTGCAACGCAACGCAACACAACACAACGCAACGCACCGTAAGGCAATTGTCGTGGGTATACCCTGCATATTGTCCAATCTCAAATCGATTGCCATCGGAATCATCCGGGTTGGGAGTAAAGGAACCGGAAAGAGCAAAGAATCGTTGTTTCGGATCTTGTGGATTACAATTGGGGGTCAAGTATATGGCACTCAAGTGGCGGTACAGGCACCAATCGTGAACCGTCCGGATGAGGACTTCGTGGTGTTTGTCATTTTTGGAATACGTCGTGCCCAAATCGACAAAGGTGAACCACTGACGCGGGTCTCCCTCGAGGCACCGTCCAATGTAGACCTGCGAAAAACTGCATTCTTCGGGATAGTCACCGTACCTATATAGCGGAGCAGAGCGATGATGTGCAATTGGAATGTTGGCATCATGATACCGTCTAGTGTCGGGGCTAGATAGACACACAACTTCGGTAGCTTACCAACAATCTCTTTTGATGGCGGCGGGGGGAGAAGGAACGATCGAAAGGTCAGACGAACGGGTACAAAAACATACGTGCAAAGGGAGACGCTGTGAGAGAAATCAAGTGACCTACCCCGTCCCGGGATACCCATCGTAATCTGCATTTGTATGAATGTGATGGCAAGGTTAAAAGAGCGAAGAACTGATGAAGTTGAAGCCAGGGTCTCGACCGGTCCACCTTTCTTTTCCTCACCTGTGATCATGCACCACATTCTGTCTACGGATTCACCCTGCCATTCGTAGCCCTAATGCGTGTTCAGGAGAACGATGTAAGAAGGACTTCGCATGCAACTACAATAACCCATGTCTGGAGAGCTGCTTACCTTTTCCCAATACAACTTTGCTCGGCAAACCACAGAGCCAATTATTGAGATGATTCTCATTCCAAAAGAAGATACCTTCTCACCATTTCACTACGTTATGGTACGATGATATCAGATTCTTACATACCTTGATTTGAAACGCGCCAATCGGAGCCTTGGGGGGCGGAGCGGGTGGTGGGTAGGATGTGTCCCACGAACAGAAATCCATTGTGCTATTCAGCGTTTCACCTCCCGTGCAAAAGGGGACGGCTCCATAGCGCACTCTTTGATGGCAATAGAGTCCCACTTGGCAATCATCTTGGGGCAGGCAGTTGTTCACAAGTAAATGTTTGTCAGTTACGGTAGATACCATGACAAGTAATTGAAACGACCGACACAGCTGTTAGCTTACCATCTGTTTGGCAGTCTCCCTGGCAGACTCCCAAGGGGTACCGTGCATACCAGAAACCGCTATGCCCTAGATAGTCAAGTTCTCCAAAGGAAACATTCACAAGCCAGTCAGTGTTATTGATTCCTGCGTTCCATTTCTCGAGAAACGGAGATTCCGGGGTTTCAATAGGTACAATATCATCCAGCTTCATGTTTGGTGGTGGTTTGACTTGTTGAAGAGGCTTGGGCTTTTTAGGGTTTGCAACCTTCTTTATCGTCTTTTGGTGTGGACTGTCTTTGTCCTCTGAATTGTCTGCCGTCATGATGGTTCCATCCAGATGTGCGTCATTGTCCCTTTTTCGGTGCCGTCGCGGAGGCTCTGCCATGTCATGCAGCTGGACAATGGTGGATGTTCCCGTTCCGATCCCCTTGGCCCGTCTTGTCCGCAGCTTTCCCGGTGGCTGTTGTTGCTGAGCTTCTGCAAGTGGAGCTATCCGATTGCTGTTACTACCGTTAGTGGAGAATAGAAGAATGACAACGCCAAGCCAAAGTATTTGCCATTGCTTCAAGTTTGCTGAAAATCCTGTGGTTTTTGCCATGGTTGCCTGATCTGATCGAGTTGCCACCTGTAGAAGATCCAATCTTCGACGAGCTAGCTGCTCCACACAAAAACCCACTTTTCTGTTCTTCTTTGGTTTAGTTAGCTTTGGGGTGGACCTACGCTCGCCATCCTTTCAGCAGCAATGAACCATGCCACAATAGCAAGCCAACTGCTCTGGCAAAAAAAATTCTTCCGAGGTCAGATGCGAGGTGCGCGGGTGAAACGGTCGGATGGAAATGTGAGGCTGCAGAGCTGCCTTCATGTCCCGGAAGAGGCAAAGGATATTATTTGCCATGCCTTTTGAATAGGAGAACAATGGACAACGACGAAGGCCCAAAGGAGTGACAATCATCAAACCACTTGCTGACAACCATGACCTCGTTGCTAGGTTGGCATTAACGATGTCTCTGTTGCACTGACTGGCACGCCGCAACCGCACAATGGCACGCAAAAAGCAAAGAAGACAAGCGCTTCTTCCTCCAAGCCTGGCCCTCGCTGGCTTCCGCAGATAACTTCGCTATCGTTTTGTCTTGGCTGAAATGACCGACTGCTGAGCAGTTGGTAGATCTTGGAAGTGCTGTGGCGTCAACGTGCAAAACAGTACTAGGTTTCGTGTAGGCAAGTAACTGGTAACTCAAATCAACTGCTAGAAAAAGAAATCGACTGCACTGCAGCAATTCCAGTTAGACTGCTAAGCAGTTACATGACGCGATTCCAGTCAACACCTTCATCCTCATTGCTGCTGTTGTCGTGTTGGTTGTTGCCATTTGTCCTGTTTTGACTGTTGGCATGGCTGTTGCTGCTGCTAAGAGCTCTGAATTGGTCATGTACTCGCTTCATTTCCTTCTCATTATCCTCGAATTCAAGCTTGGTTGGCATCTTCCAATCCTTTTGCTTCTTGCCGGTGATGCGCCAATCCGCTCTTGCCAATCCAAAAGAAGCTGTGTTGTGCCAATGGAAGAAACAAGAAGAAGGCTCGCCATCTTGTGGATACTTGTGGAGGGCCTTGTCACAGAGTTTACAGAACTGATACGTGAGCTTGCCACAGAAGTGACAAGCAAGTTTCTTCTTGCCATTGGCCATCTTTTGTGTGGCTTCGTAGTGTTCCATCAAAGGGGTAATGAATCCACAAAGGCGAGCTGCAGATTCGTCTTTGAGTGTGTTGACTCCAATACCGGAAGCTGTTGTGAACTCCCCATCATCGTGACGATATCTTGGTGGTGTTCTGCTTCTGCTTCGTGAGCGATTCGGAGCGAGGCCGCTTTGCCTTTGGCACCATGGTGCACTCGCGAAACTTGTCATCTCCTAAATAATGGTGATTGGTTGGAGAATAAGTGAGCATCTGCTTGCCCAGCTTCTCGCGAAACCGATAGAAGTCCACGGGCTTCTCTTGTTTCCAACGCTGGTCCAGTTTGCCTTCACAGAGCTCTTGATAGATATCGTACGCGACAACAACAGCCATCGCCTTTGCATGGGTCATCGGAGAATGCCAGTATTTCCAAGACCTGTAAAGAGAAGACGAAATGATGTGGGTACACAACAATTAACAATGAGGAAGATAATGATGCCGCATACCTGTAAGAGATGGAACAGTTTTGGATAAGATGATCCAGCCTGTCGATGCCTCCGTACGTGTGAAGATAGAGCTCTCTTGCTTCATTCATCTCGATACCCCATCGCCTCTTGGATTTTCCCCTTCCACGCTCCTTGGTGGTTGCATACAATTCACAACTGTTGATGGCATTGACACTGATGAAATTGCAAGATGAGGTAGACTGAAAGGAAGTGTGTTCATCTAAGAAGCGCATAATGGGGTAGCGCGAAAACAGCGAGGTCGGTTACAAAATTGCCAGGTCAGTCGATGGTAAGGTTACCAATCGGTAACTGACCTCGCGCTTATGTATGGTGGGTACAAGAGAACACCGAGGAATGATCCTTCCCATTTTGTGAGGTCAGCTGTGCAATATTCAAGAACCTCTTATCCTACTAATTGAAGACGATCGACTCAGGCATATACAGATGCAATTGCAGCACAAGTCATTGGCGTAACGGTTACAGAAGTTGAACTAAGTGTTCACTATTCCTCTACCGAATTCCGTTCCCCTTTCTATACATGGCTTACAAGTTGATGCACTTTGTGATGCTAATTACAGAAGGGCAGTTGTAGGCTATTCCCCAAGCCCCGGAATCCAAAACAGCTCAGCCATTCCTTCCCAAATGAAAGAGTCCTAGTTACTAAATCTATAAGTAGGGGTTTCCAAAATGGAGAAAAGCAGTACACAATGTTGGATATGATTGGGGCTAAATTCGTTATGGTACTACTAATAACAGAGTAGTGGAGGTAAGCGAACAATGACATAATGTTCGTAGTAAAAGGGGAGAAAAGGTCACTCATATGTAACAACAACTGTAACGGTACGGGCATCTAGGTCCGAGAAAAGGGTCCAAATGATTCCAAAACAGGACGGCTGGGGCAACCAAACAAGGACGCCATAGGTAACAAAGTCGTCTTGGAAGCCTGCTAAAAGGGGAGAAATGAAATTGAAGAAGGTGGAGGAAGCCACCAAAGCCTGGGTAGGACCCCACAAAATGATGGGGTCCTAGGTTGCCAAGGGGAAACCTAATCATCAATCTCATCAAGATTCACACTGGACTCTTTGGCGCTTGCGCTTCTTCGAGTCCTCATTACAGCATCGACACTATAGGAATCTGTTAGATGTCTTGCGCACACGAGCAAGGATGGCCCGCTCACCAATTTGCATGGTCCTGGGCTCTAATTCCTTGACAAGCTTCTGCAAATCCTTGAGCCGCGAAGGCCGTTATCACCCCACACCCAAAAGCAGAAGATCCAGCCTTGGAACTGAGTACCTCCCTTCATAAACTCCCTCCGAATCATCTGCTTTGCTGGAGTCGAGGCAACTTCACGTCCAAGGTGAAGCCATGTGGTAAACGTTGAAGTACTCGTGCCACTTTCCATTGGTAGGTTGCCTTCATTGTCACAGCACCTGGTTCCGCTTGTGTAACCATTCTCGAAGGCGAGGGCAGCAAATGCTTCTCGAATTGGAGGGAAAGCTTCCGAAACCATCAACCCTGGCTCGAAATGATGTAGTTCTTGCGAACTGCCTTCCTCAAAAACTTGGATGCAACACCAGCCTGAGCAAGAGGCAATCCTCATACCATTTAGCAACAAACTGAGTCGCTCATGCTGTGCTTCGCACCCTCAGTGGCTCCTCTACAGGTGGCAACAAGTGGCACTCCCGCTTGATCACCTTCAGGACCTCAATCATGGTTGGGAACTTTTCCATTCCATAGTACCTTGACAAGCTTCTTGACATGCTCAAAGATTTCGGTTACAAACATAGTTGCGTAGAACATTGAGGGTCTTGATGCAATATGTGACCAGAGCTTGATGAATAGTTTGCGCTTGGACTTAATACCTATGTCAGCACAGCAAGAAAAGGGAAGTAGCCGGTGTGAGATTTGGAAGTGCATAGACAATCGCAAGCAAAACCAACTAATTAACGTACAGTCTGTCCTTCTTTGCATTTACCAGTCAACATCAGCCCCATTCAACTGCATGTATCAAAAGTGGCCGTGTTAAGGGCAATTGCCAGCTTGTCGCTTTTGACAAACTTGAACCTCCGTCAGTCAGTGTTCTTGATTGCCGTCTTCATCTCATTATTCATCGGAGCACCTTCATCAGTGGTGACAATAAATGGACATCGTCTTTGGCTACCGATTCATCATCAGTAGCATCCGAATAAGTGTCGGTTCCTTCCAAACTCAGCTTCTCAGTCTTTGCCTGTTTCCTCCTCAAGCTGCTTCTGCAATGCTATAACCTTCCTCTCCAAATCAGCACTCTTGCCCTTCTTAGCTGGTGACTTCTGTTGGGAATGCGAAGTATCGCCCCCCGGCCCTTTCAAATGGCAAGCACTGCTCCATTGCGCCCTTTGACTTTCTTCTTCGGCGCCTTCTTTGCAGCAGCTGCAGCCTGGCAGCCCTTCGTTTGCCTACAGACTCCATGTTGTTGTTGTTGTTGTTGTTGGAAGTCCTTTGAGATGCAGCTGATAGACGACGAATATCCCTACCTGCGTGAGAGCTTTCGTCAAGGGGAGTATCCGGTGACAGAGGTGGAGCAGATTGTTGGTCGTTTTTGCGGTGCTTTTTGCGGAGTTTGGTTCCAGATGCACGAGACTGGGTTCCCGATTTGTGACGCTGGCTGGTTGTAGATTGGGAGGCACTACCTTGGGAATCGTACAGACTGCTCACCGAAACTGACGTGCTGGCCTTCCGTTTCTTCTTGGTAAGGTTTTGGTGAATCCCTATCGTTCGCAGTGCAAATCGTCTTCCTCGTCCCTCGGTCGACAACTGCCTTGTTCCTCTTCTGATTCGTCGTGTATTCTTCTGTTTGCCCTCCAATACCTTGACTGGGCTCCTCCGCAGTACCTAGACTTCCGCTTCGTCGTCTTTCGCCCTCCAAAGCAGTCTGCTCTCCAAAGCTTTACCACGCCAAGAGAGCCAAAGTTGACCAGTGGAAGGAAGATGACAAAAGGAGGAAATGGTGGAAGAATGTAGTGTAGCAACAAGGCAGAGCTTTCGCTTTTCAGAGGCAAACTGTCGAAATAATGAGGTTGAATGGCGCAACAACTCGAGGTATCGACTGCAATTTGATGAGGGCATACGACTGGAGAGCTTTGCCATCGTGGGTCTCCACGGTTGGTGCATACATAAGCGATCTTGGAAGTCGATACTTAGCACCAAACACACGTGTAATCAGTGGGAGTAATGGTGAAAAATGATAAAGAGGGAGTATCCAACGACAGAGCCGTCGGATGCACATGGGATTGGATAATACACATACACGTACACGTACACGTACACGTACACGTACCTTCAGTCATTTGCTCTCGTCTTTTCAGGTATTCGATATGCACCTTGAGGCCTTCGTCTGGGTGTTTCGCCATTGGCTCTATGTTTCTAGTACTTGCGTTGGCGTCG